CATTGACTAAAGCATCAATAAAAAAGTTACAAGTAGCACAACGAAAAATGGAAAGATCTATGCTTGGCGTAACTTTGAGAGACCGAATACGAAATGATGAGATACGGCGAAGAACTGGAGTGGAAGACGTCATAAAACGGATTACGAAGTTGAAGTGGAAATGGTCAGGACACGTCGCAAGACAGAGAGACAACAGATGGACAAAGAAGATTTTAGAATGGCGGCCAAGGGCAGACAAGCGAAATCGTGGAAGACCACCTACCAGATGGACGGACGACATTAAAAGAATAGTGACAAACTGGATCGCAGCTGCACAGGACAGAGAAGAGTGGAGACATCTTGAGGAGGCCTATGTTCGACAGTGGAAAAATTTGGCTGCGTGATGATGATGATGATGACACACGTCGGTAATAGATTTCGCAATGATACTTTTTTCGATATAATTGGCAGTTTTGTTTAATGCTACTTCACATTCTATACCCAAATATTCTAAAGTTTTTTAATTATTATGTTGTGAGGACCCTTAAGCTAGCGGGGACACATGAGCGGAATCCAATTTAACCTACGTAATATTTTTTCACCCATTTTTCACTAATTTATTACCACCCTAATAATTTTTCACCACCAAACCAACCTTAAGGGGAGCGATTCTGCTGGCTTAAGGTTCAAGCTAGCAGAATTCAAAAAAAAAACTTTTTGTTTATGGCATATTTTTTCACCCATTTTTCACTAATTTATTACCACTCTAATAATTTTTCACCACCAAACCACCCTTAATGGGAGCGATTCTGCTGGCTTAAGGTTCAAGCTAGCAGAATTCAAAAAAAAAAAATTTTCTTGATGGCATATTTTTTCACCCATTTTTCACTAATTTATTACCACCCTAATAATTTTTCACCACCAAACCAACGTTAAGGGGAGCGATTCTGCTGGCTTAAGGTTCAAGCTAGCAGAATTCAAAAAAAAACTGTTTGTTGATGGCATGTTTTTTCACTAATTTATTACCATCATAATATTTTTTCACCATCAAACCACCCTTAAGGGGAGCGATTTTGCTGGCTTACGGTTCCAACTAGCAGAATTAAAATAAATATGTACGACATACCATAGTGTTTTGATAGGTTTTTACGAATTTGTTACCACCCTAGCAATTTTTCACCCCTTAACTACCCTTGCGAAAAGTCAATAATTGTGATAGATTAAAATTAAAGGAGAATTTTTTTTTTCAAATTTACTCTCCTCTACTTATAACTGAAATAAAAAAGTGTTTAGTTAAGATTTTACTAAACTTTGACCATCCTGATAATTTTGCTCCCATAAACCTATTCGGAAACTTGTCTGCTAGCTCAATATTCGAACCAGCGAAATTAGAAAAAAAACGTATTTTTGAAATATTATAGTATTCTATACCAACTTAGTAATTTTTTATCCCTCGCCTAACCCTTGTTGGAAGTTAATAATTCTGCTATTGAAAAAGTATTGTTTTATAATTTTACTCTTTTCTGTGGCAAATAGATTTTTGTCTACAATTCTACCATCTAAACATTTACGCTAGTTAAATACAAAGCAAATTTTTTCGGAAATATGAGATACGATAGTATTGTGCTAGATTTGTACTAATATATTAGCATCCTAGTAATTGTTTACCCTTTAACTACCCTCCCAATCCGGAATCAATAATTCTGCTAGGTTAAAATTTAAGGTGATAAAAAATCTATTTCTATAATTTAACTGTATTCTACTTTTAACTGATTTTATAAATTGCTTGCCAGGTTTTTACTGAATTTGATCCACCCTTATAATTTTTGACCCCCTGAGCCTCAGTTAACGGGAAACATTCAAAAAGCTACACATTGAGGCTAGGTGAATAAGAAAACTTTTTTTGGAAACACAAGAGTACTCTCCTAGATTTTTACTATATTTTTACCAACCTAGTCATGTTTTTCTCAACTACTCTAATTGAAAAACATTTTCAAATCTTATTCTATGCTAACAATTTTTTATTTTTTTAGTGTTTAAATATTGAAAATACTTTATTCCAAAAAACTATAAATTTGAACCCTTTATGAATATAAAATAACTGAAATCGAGTTGAGTTTTAGTCAATACAATGGAATTTTTATATTTCACAGAATAAATTACCAGGTAATTCAAACTAACATTCCAGGTATTACCAGGTAATAAACATTCAAAATAACATAACACACAAATTGAAATAATTTTATTACGTCTATTATATTATTTAACTAATTGAAAAGAAGGGTCGGGACCGTGCGTATCTATTGTTAAGAGATTAAAAGATTTGTATTCAGTAGGTACATGAAAATTTGAAAAATAATTTAGGTATTTAATATTATTCAAATAAGAAGAGTATTAACGATTGGTCAAAACATATTTTTAAGATTATGTGTACCTATAGCAAAAAGAATTTATCTTGGAAAACATTTTAGGATATAAATATTTTAAGTAGGTATATTCAAATAAATCGGAAATTACCGGTTGGTCAGAACAGCTGTTATAGATTATTTGCGTAGTAAATTAAATTTAAATTAGCAGCATTTTAAAAATTTAAAGATATTTGTATTTTTTTAATTCTTTGTCGAATTTTCATTCATTGTCAGTTGAATATAACTAGAAATTAAAGGGTATTTCAAAAAATATTAACCTGTTTATTTTGTTTATGGAAATGTTTAGAAGAATCGACCAAGGAGAGATCTGGTTTCTCGGGACAGTTCACACACTCATAAATTGGGTTTTTTCTAATGTTTAGGATAGTACTTACTCTGCATCTTTTTATTATTAATTTTTTATATTAATAATTCTATATCAATTATTTATAGGTAAATGTTCGCGTACGATATTCCGTCTTTCTTTACTTTTTTTATGAATTAATTTACGAATTAATTCTAACCTTCATACCGTCTTTTATGTGTTTTTTATTTAATATATTGTTTAAAACTAAGTCTAACTTTCCACGGTACCATCGATTCATCTAGTGGTAATTCTTTTACTGGATAATACAGAGCAGTCATTTTATAATTAAAAAGTATATGACTGTTGTTATTCTATAAAACCGATCTACAGAAATAACATTAGGTCTCATTGGATTATGGATGAATTGTAAGCACCCTAAAATTTAAAGAACAAGATCTCTGCCGAAAAACTTAACATAACACTTTTTTATTTTAGTTATAAGTAGCGAAGAGTAACATTGTAAAAGAATATTTTTCACCTTAAAGTTTAACAGAATTCTTGACTTCCCATAGGAGGCAGTTGAGGGGTGAATAATTGCTAGTGTGGAAATAAATTCGCAAAAACCTAGCAAAACACTGTGATATTAAAAAAATAATTTTTTTCTGATTTTGCTGGTTCAAATATTGAGCTAGCAGGAACATTTTTAAATAAGATTAGTTTAGAAGTGCAAAATTATTAGGATGGTCAAAGTATAGTAAAAACTTAACAAACCACTTTTTTTATTTCAGTTATAAGTAGAAAAGAGGAAAAAATTTCTTCGTAAATTTTAATCTAACACAATTATTGACTTTTCACAAGGGGTAGTTAAGGGGTGAAAAATTACTCGGGTTGTAATACATTTGTAAAAACCTAGCAGAACAATATGGTATATGGTATGGTATGGTATAACCGTAAGCCAACAGAATCGCTCCCCTTAAGGGTGGTTTGATTCTGAACAAATATTAGGAATGTAATTATTTAGTGAAAAATGGGAGAAAAAATATGTCATCAACAAAAAGTTTTTTTTTAATTTTACTAACTTGAACCTTACGCCACCAGAATCGCTCCCCTTACGGTTGGTTTGGTGGTGAAAAATTATTAGGGTGGTAATAAATTAGTGAAAAATGGGTGAAAAAATATGCCATCAACAAAAAGTTTATTTTTTGAATTCTGCTAGCTTGAACCTTAAGCCAGCAGAATCGCTCTCATTAAGGGTGGTTTGGAAGTGAAAAATTATTAGTGTGGTAATAAATTAGTGAAAAATGGGTAAAAAAAATATGCTATCAACAAAAAGTTTTTTTTTTTAATTCTGCTAGCTTGAACCTTAAGCCAGCAAAATCGCTCCCATTAAGGGTGGTTTGGTGGTGAAAAATTATTAGGGTGGTAATAAATTAGTGAAAAATGGGTGAAAAAATATGCCATCAACAAAAAGTTTTTTTTTGAATTCTGCTAGCATGAACCTTAAGCCAGCAGAATCGCTCCCCTTAAGGTTGGTTTGGTGGTGAAAAATTATTAGGGTGGTAATAAATTAGTGAAAATGGGTGAACAAATATGCCATCAACAAAAAGTTTTTTTTTTTAATTCTACTAGCTTGAACCTTAAGCCAGCAGAATCGCTCCCCTTAAGGTTGGTTTGGTGGTGAAAAATTATTAGGGTGGTAATAAATTAGTGAAAAATGGGTGAAAAAATATGCCATCAACAAAAAGTTTTTTTTTCCAAATTCTGCTAGCTTGAACCTTAAGCCAGCAGAATCGCTCCCCTTAAGGTTGGTTTGGTGGTGAAAAATTATTAGGGTGGTAATAAATTAGTGAAAAATGGGTGAAAAAATATTACGTAGGTTAAAATGGATTCCGCTCATGTGTCCCCGCTAGCTTAAGGGTGCTTATGTTGTGGCAAGTTGTGTTTAAATCCTTCTTCTAAAAGTTATATCTCACTATTACTGAATTTAGTATCTGTTAAATTTATAAATTTATTGAAACAATTATGGTTCGAAAAACTTTTTTGTATAATGAACATTGGGTTTTATAGTATTGTAAGTTAGATTGTTTTTTACACTGCGTATTAAATTCACTTTTATATTATCTATTTAACAAAGGTAAAAAAAAACAAGAGAATGAAAGAAAAAATGAAAAGGTCGAAGAAAGTATGAAAAAGAAGAAGATGAGATATAAGTACTATTCTATTAACAAGAAAATCGGTATCAATCATCCACATTAAGTGAAAATTATTGACTTATTCTTAATGATAAATACTTATTATCTTTTTAGACCCAGTATTTCCAATGTCTTTCCTGATAAACTCGTGGATTCCCGGCATGATCGACGCCATGGCTCAAGCTACATTCCTGTGTGCGTTACTTTTGTTCTGGCTGTGCATTTATCACGGGCTAAGACAGGTGAGTTCGTTAACAAGTTTTGCATGCATTTACATTAAGTATAATTGTGTTTACTTTCGCCATAATGTGCTTAGGTTGTTGAAAGTGCAAATTATGTTTGCACAAGGTTCTTCCTCAATATACATATTATGTTAATAGTTAACGAAAACGTGGAATAGTATGTTAGTATTAAGTTAATTTTCTGGTAATATAGATTATTAATTACAGTTAAATTAAAATAAAGTGGAAAGTAAAAAACTAATCAAAAGGATAACCATGGTAATAGATATAGCTGTTTAGTTCCAAAAACACTTATGTTTTATCTCATATTATTGAAAATGTGCAGAAATAATTAAGTAAAATTAATGTAAATTTTTTATTATAACTAAAATTTGCTTGTAGAATGAAAGACATTTTTTGACATTTTATCTGCCAAAAGTCTTTATTGTGGCTATGCTATGGTTCCCTGCCATAATATTATCAACATGGGATAGGATAAATGAACTAGAAGATCCAACCTACAACCATGTCGTAGATACATCTAACTTTTATGTAAGTATGTAAGCTTTCTATGTTATGCATTATGTTATGAAGAAAACGTTTAAAAGAAAAAAAATATTAAGGCTGTTTTAGCAGTCAAAACACACTGCGATTTGAAATGGGCGTATCACTTACTTTTCCTCACTGCTTACGCCAGCCGACGACGGGTACAGCTGTTTTCGCAGTGGCGCCGGCCGGCGGGTGGTTTAATGACAACAAATGCATTATTCTCCATTCAAATTACTTTTGTCGGGAATACCTTTTTTGTTTAATTATGGTATATGTTTTAAAAATAATTATCATATTTTTAATTTATATGTCTTAGCTAAATATAGTATTGAATATAAATTTGTGAAACGTGATTTCAAAAAACATCATGGTGTTTATTTATAATAAATTTAAAATAACATAAAAATATTATTATCAAAAAAAAAATACAATTTGTTGTCACAAACAAATAAACAATTTCGCAGTTATAGCTTGAAATTGATTTCAAATTAAACTAACTGACCGTACGTTCATGAGATTTGACGTCACGCAGCTGATAACGGTAAAACTAAATGCCAATGATGAGTAACACGTTTCACTATTAGATTTCAGTATTTTTTAGCAATTTTCTTCTAAGTTTGAACACGCTTTTCTCGATTATTACTGGACATAAAAAGGTGAAAAAAAAACCAACGATTGCTGAAAAAAAACTCTTTCAAGTGATGGGCGTAAAAAGTTTAGTTATAATAGAACGTTAAACTGTATAATCCGATATTTCAAAAGAACTTTCAAAAAAATTAAAAAAGTAAAACCATCAGTTTAAAGGCAACATAATTTTGAATAACGTGTCCAAATTTCGAGATATTTTGTCGGTAAATAACAGAGAAAACACTGTATCTAGGTTTTGGTGTACCGATAAAACAGCCTTGAGTTTTCTTTATGAATAGTGATTTTCAGATACAATTCATTATCACCTATATCAATGTGTCAAGGTGTACACGTGTCTTTTTTCAAGCACATTTTTATCTAAGTGCGCCCATCTCCAGTCAGCAGCTAAATCTTCAGTAACACAATAGTAGTTGTACAATCTCTTAAGCTCGGTACACATATACGAGCCAAACGGTATGCATACTGCATACGAACGCTATATTCGTTAATGTCTACGGCAGAAAAAACCGCTTGCGTACTGTTTCATCGTAACTCGTCGCGAACCAAATTGTTGCGGTTTATTCCACGACTTCAAAAGAAGCTCGTCTTTCAGTTTGGACGGCGCTACCAGACGCAGCGAACATTTTTATTGACTTATTGAGCAGTTAAGTTTAAAATTTTTTGTAGAATTTGATGCTCCTGAATTTTAATGTCTACGCTAGCTACCGAAATGATTGTAGAATATACGTGACTCTACGTAAAATGTTTTAAAAGCTTAAAATAATGGATTTGATAATTAAAACACGAGCTCCTATCTCTAGGTCTGGGTTCAGTCTCGATTATTAATGTCTGTCCGATTATATGAACATGTTTTCATTTCATCTCTGAAAACAGTCTGTTAGGCACCAATTGTATTGCAATCAAGTAGTCTATTGACATTTTCTATTAACTGTTATAGCAGTCTTCCAAACTTCGGCAGATCAGCTTTATATAATTCTCCCTAACCCTGATTTTTACAGAGCTCTTGTATCAAGGTGACATCGAATCATCTGATAGCAACAGTAAGTTATGCAGACTCTGCCTTACCGTACTGAAGATTCGTTTGTATGATCCTCATTGGGGTCATTGGAACAAACTTTAGATAAAGACAAAGTTCACGACTGAAGTGCCACTCTACTTATTCGTCTACATTTTTATTTGTAGACTCAAAGTAACTCATTTCTGAGACCTCTTCTGGGCCATTCTTTTTTGTTTTGTGTCCATTTTATTTAGACGACTCGAAACGAAATGCCGTCAGACACGGCAGTGTGCCCATACGATGCTAAGGCTATAATCCTCCAGAGTACGCCAGACCTCAATATTTCCCCCTATGCTATGGGCACTGTATGATTAGTCAGTTCTGATAGGGCTGTATAGTGACTTTCTCTTTAAGCATGGTATATATGGGCATGTGTATACGTGTATTTTGTGTTTGGTCATATATGTATGTGGGTTAGCCCATGTTTATGGCTGGCTGTGTATTATGAACAATCAACAAACGATTCTATACATCTACAGAGCATTCCTTATTTGCCGTTAGGATACGCCGTGTAGGGAATGGGAACTTTTATGTCCAATCTGTCCTGCGTGATGAGCTAATGAGCTCAGAATGACAATATCAGACTGGAACGGATATGAAAAGCTTGGTTTTGATTTTAATTTATTACCAACGCCTTTGATATGCCATATTTTATGCTTTCTTAAATAAAGTATTACATTTGCTTTATATTATCCGATGCTCTATTCTTCAGCAAAAGCAATAAGGAATATATGATCTCAAAAACTAATAAAATAGAAGTAAGAGTTTACTTTCCAAATGAAATAAAATCGAGACGCCCATGTCTAGGCTGTTTTTGTGACAACGTACCTGCCAATAGATGGTTTAATAAGTAACGCCCTTTAAAATAAAAAACATGTTTGTTAAGAAAATTATTTTATTTGATTTCCTCTTTTAGCTAAATACAATGCTTCGAGCAATTTTGAAAGTTCTGTATACCGTCTGCCATTTCCGATTATCCATTGGGTTACGAGCCATTTCTTTAGATTTACGAACACATAATAATCGGAAGGGACCATATAAGGAGAATAAGTTGAATGAGAACGCAATTCGAAACCAAATTTATTATTTTTTTAAATTACACATTTATTATTAAGAAAGATAAAAGACAAAACGAAAATCGAAAACACTATCAAGGAAAGAAAAATAAGCTACTTTGGTCACATACTAAGAAATGAGATATATTAGTTGAAGCGGTTGGTTATATAAACGAAAGTAGAAGTATAAAGCGGACCGGGGAGATAACGCACGTCCTGGTTGAACAATTTAAAGCATTGAAGAAGAAAAACAACAATATAACTCTTTAAAACTTCTCCAAACTGAGCAAAACGAGAAATAATGATCGCCAATATCCTTAAAGGATGAGGCACATAAAGAAGAAGAAGGTGTATAGTAGTTGATTCATATTTCATCAATAGTAACCAATCGATGCCAGAAATCTAAAGGGTTGTTTGTGCTTTATAAGATCTAAATACTGCTGAGAAGGGGTCACAAAATCATGTTTTTGGTCAATGGTCAGCAAACAGCAAGTGCGGCACTCATCGGCAGTATTATTTTTTTTTTTATTTTGAACAGCTCCGTTTAAAATAAAACTACTGTGCTCCTAACAATTCACCCATCATCACTTTATGATAAGCTAAATCCATTTCATGCACACTTCCTAATCCCAATAATTCACTTTTAAGATCCTACCTGACAGATAATACCTGGCAATCGCTACATATGCCGATGACACAGTTAACATGGCTTTTAAATTCTACAGCAACCGAAGCATCCCAGGTATTTCAAAATCACTTGTTTAAACTAGAGAGTTGGCTTAAACTAGGGTGAGTTCAAGTCAACTATTTAAAATCAACACAAATAACGTTTACTTTAAAAAAAAGTCACGTGCCACCAGTTTTTATAAACAACACTCCATTACCCGTTAATACCGTCGTGACATACTTGGAAATTCATTTGGATAGCAAACTTAATTGGGGCATCTATATCTGAAGAAAACGTCTTTAACTCAGCTTAATATACAGGAAAATGTATTGGTACATTAGTCGAAAATTAAATATTAGCCTGGGGAACAAACTTCTGATTTATAAATGTATTTTAAAACCAATATCGCTATATGCCGCACAAACCTGGAATACAGCAAGTAATACCAACATACAAATCTTCAACTATTCCAATCGAAAGTACTACACCATATTTGCAATGCCTCTTGATATATTACGAATCATAGGTTACACTACGATCTACAGCTACCAACAGTTAGCGAAGGAATATCTCTTGTAAACTCTGAGTACAAGTCCAGGCTATCCTGTTATCAAAATTCGCTGAGCATTAATCTGCTCAATATTTCACACGCAAGAAGATTAAAACGACCAGACCCTTTGGACCCCTACTAAATCTAGAGAAATAGAGCGTAGTGTTATAGTGCGGTAAAATAACAAGTTTTTATTCTGGTGTTGTCTCGATTTTTTTTAGTCTTGTAATACTTATATGTGTTGTTAGTGTTGTTTATCTGCATTAAACTTTGTTTGATAAGTTGAAATTTTAATTAATTGTTATACTATACATTAAATTTATAATATTCTATGTCTTCACTGGGTGCTCGCCACTGGGCGGCTTCCTACTATGTTATTGTACCTACATAAACTATACAGTCATATTGCTTATTGTTTGTAATGAGACAGATTGCAATAAACATTGAATGTTAAAAAATATATCTCTATATGCGTTATTTTTTTAACCACATAAATTTTACGTAACTGTTAAACATTTCACTAATATCTGCATTGCGCTAAAATTTGGTGTATATGACATATTAAAATTAATGTTTTTTTTTTAAATCTCAGCGCCATAATCGGCGAAGGAGGTTACTTATAAGACGACCAGATATATCACAAGCACAATAATCTGGAAAATAAAATTGCTTACAATTATTATTTATCAAGTAGGATTTGCCAACAATAGCAATATCTAACAGTATATATGTCGCAGCCAGATGGTTAAATTAGCCGTTAGATAGAACAGCTAGCCATTTGATTGAATAATTCAATCACATATCTGAATTTCAATTAGCTAAGTGGCTGACTACCACGAAGATAACGTTTAACAGATCAGCTTGGCGACGATCAGTCCTGTAATAAAACAGCTAATTGAAATAGTCATCTAGTAGCTTTTTCATTTGATTGAACAACAATTGATTCATATGATTTCTTACTTATAAAATTATGTTATTTACTTCACAGTTGAGGTTTTTAATAATTTTCATGTAACATTTAAATTATTTATTGACACAACTTAAACTGACATTTATATCCACAAAAAACTTTTTTCTTGAAGCGAGCACATCTCACGGTACGGCATTGTTTTTGTGCTGGTTTAAACAAGCATTTTTAAAAACCTTGACCTTCAAAACTTTGATTCTATAGTAATATCTGCTCGTAAAGATATCAGAGTATCTAAAATTTTATCATCATAGCTTTCCTTTGACGCGTGCAATGTTTGTCGCTCAAACCAATTTTTAATAGTTCCTGTTTTTGGGCGTATTGTATAAACTCCATTTCTAAAATCCACAATTTTTCCTCTGATATTTTTGGTGTCCAAAAGTCTACGATCCACTTTCGGTACACTTATCAGGACACTACTGCCAATAAGTAGAGGTGTCAGTTTATATATATATATATATATATATATATATATATATATATATATATATATATATATATATGTATATATATATATATATATTTATGTATATATATTTATGTATATATATATATATATATATATATATATATATATATATATATATATATATATATATAAGCGAGGTTCCTACAGCTTCTGCCGCTTCTCGCATTTCGACCGCCATCGTTCTCTGTCCATCCATTCGTGTACATTTTCTTCCCAGGCAACTAAAGGTCTTCCCCTTCTTCTTTTTTGTTGTGGTATGTAATTTAAAGCTTTCTTTGGCCATGTATCTTCATTCATTCGCTAAACGTGACCATACCACACTAGTTGTCTCGTTTCAATTCTGTCTACACTGGAATATACAGTATTTGTCCTCCTTCTAATATCTTCATCCCTGATATGATCTTTTTTGGATACATGCTCTCCTTAGAAAATCCATTTCTACTTTTTCTACCATTTCTAGTTTTTTTTTATTTTTGTTTTTCAACCAGTTAACTGGTCAACTGGTGATACTAGACGCGGTGGTCAAGAAACATCTCACGAAATAAATTATGTCAATAATATGACGGCTTTTCAATTAGCCATGTCCTAGAACTTTTTAATTGCTTAAACATTTAACAAAATAACTAGTTCTGTGATTAAATGGAATTATTAAATCAAAGGGCTAGCTGTTTAATCATGCGACTAATTTAACCGTCTGGCTGTGACATATAACATCATTTGTTTTTTCAAGCAACTACCAAATTGAAGTAGAATAATCTTCTTTTTTAGATTGTTAAAGCATTTTTCTACATTTTTGGAGTCGTATATTTATTGTATTTATCAATTTTGATATTGAGGGCTTATACAGAATTAAGATCGATGCCGTTTTTTGGTAAGTTACGTTCCGTATTTGACTATTTTTAATGTAAATTTTATATTTTACTTAAAGTTTAGTGGTTGTACTAGAAATTTGCAATATAGTATTACAAACCTAAACACACAAAAATCCAGTTACAGGTTAAAATTGTGTAAAATAGGTTATATCCAAGTAATTGATTTGTGGGCACTACATAATATTATTACATAATCGTATTTTTAGGTCTTCGATTGAAATTTTTAACCTTATTAATGTTGGTGGTACTGATAATAAGCTGCGTCATAACAGTACTGAGATTTGGTGTGGGCGTTTTGGAAGACAACTTTGTTGCACAACTGTCAACGCACTATAGTAATTCTTCTCAGTTTATGTCGTTCTATGGATTATTAAATTTCTACCTATATGCAATGGCATACGTGTATTCCCCAGGAAACAGAAACATACACGGTAAGTTTTATAAATAGCCAAAAAATATTCCAATATAGAGAGTGTGTAACAAAAAGTTATGTTAAAAATTGAAAAACATGACTTACCTTAATACAAATATTCACACAAAAGAAGTGGTATAGTTGGCGGTACTGTGTACTAGCGCGAAACTTCATTCTATGTTTTCTGTATTTTTAAAATTTAAATAATATTTTGAAAATTTAATAAAGTAATTTTATTATTAATTTATTATTTTTTTATATAAATTTTAATAAAATTGAAAAAGTTTACATGTTGTATAACGGATCAAACCCGTCATTTAAATGGACTCTTCCAACTGTGATTGCGAACCGCTATTTCGTTTTGTGGTGCTATTTCCATGACGTTCTCCTCAGCATTTTACTATAGACAAAACGTAAATAACGATACCATAAGCCATCAGAAAATGTTCAAAGCATTGACAGAATGCCGAATAGACCATCGCTACACTAACATAATCAAATATATTTACCAAAATGCCACATGTTCTGTATACAGCGAAGAGTACGGCAAGAAGACACAATTTATCCAAAGCTATTCACGACGCTTTTAGAACATACTTGTAAGAAGGCACATCTAAACAAGAATGATATCAACATAAATGGAGGGAAGCTCAGTCATTTGGGATTTGCAGATGACATCGTCCTTATAACCGATCGTATAGGTGATGCAATAATAATGTTTGAAAAATTATATCAGGCTTCCTTGGAGGTTGAACTAAAAATTAAAATGAATAAGACGCAAATAACGATTAATCCAGTGCTAAATCAAAATATTGCTGTTGATGAAAGGGATATTGTGCAGACTACATCGGATAAGTACATAGGACATGAAATTCGGTTGGGCAGAGATAATCAGACATGTGAGCTCCCACGTCGCATAGGATTAGCCTGGCAGTGTTTGATAAATTAAACTATGTATTTAAATCGGATCTACCGATATGCCTCAAAAGGAAAATTTTTGACCAATGTGTGTTACCTGTACTCACTTATGGAGCGAAACATTGGCACTCACAAAAAAAAGTTAATAAGATTGACGTGACTCAGATGGCTATGGAGCACCAGATGTTGGGTGTCTCTCTGAGAGACCGAATCCAAAACGAAGAAATATGTAGAAATGTCGTAGAACAAAAACAACAGACGCTATCGAAAAAATCTCGTCTAAATTGAATTGGGCGGGACAAGCCGCCAGATTATCAGACAACTAATGGATAAAAAGTATTTTAGAGTGGAGACCAAGACAAGAAACAATACGGAGCAGAGGGCGCCCTCCAACTAGATGGACTGACGACCTGAAGCGTGTTAGCAATAACTGGATCAAGTCAAGCCGCACATGACAGAGACAGATGGAAAGAGCTAAGGAAGACCTATGTTTAGCAGTAGACTCATACAGGTTGATGATGATGATGATGATAATAATAAAAACTTTGCGTCAAAAATCACATCCCTTAAATATTAAAAATTTGTTTAATATATCGTGAACTGTTTGATATTTTCTAATGAAAACGGACACGTGGAGTTCTAATAGCAGAAGCACCTTTATAAATAGTTTCTTAACCCTATAACAATGTATAGGAGCTCTTTTTCCTTAAATCCCTTCAACTTTTTGGGTACGTTTTAATAAAAATATTATTACGAAACCATTACTATAACAATGTACTTTTTCACCTAGTTCCACTTCAAAAAACCAATTTTTATCGAGATCCGCCTCTTTTTTATTCGAGGCCGACCTCCTATCGAAAATTGGCAATAATTTTTGCCCATTTTTCTTTTGTCTTTGGCCTTTCTCAACAAATCGATTAAGCCCAAGCCTAACCAACCTCTTATGTTTTAAGTCAGGAACACTATTCTGGCGTTCTGGCCCGCCTCTTTCTTCGATTCTACTCTCTATTATAAAATTGTTTCCGTGTAAACAGTTTTCCGTTTTTAAATAATTTTTTGTTCACGTTTTTTTACCCATCAGACGAAAAAAATCCAAATTATTGGTATGGACAATCCAAAGTATTCGCAATATACCCACATTTCAAATGCCTCAAGTATATTCAGGGGTCTAACTTTTAATTCCCTATTTTCAAGTCCATACAAAATTGTGGAATATATGTAGCACTTTACAAATGTATAGCTTATTTGGATATCGACAAATCTATTACTTAGAAGGCAAAACACTTTTAAAATGTTTAGGGTGAAGATTTTTATCAATCTTGTTAAATTTTAATCCAAATAAATCTCTTTCAGCTGATATTTTGTTAAATAAATGGTACAAGCCTTCCCAATTGTCTGCAATCAGAATTGTATCATCGCCATATCTTTCTAATCTTTATTAAATCTAAATTATTTATCAACATTGCATTCACTTTTTTGCCATCTTCTGCTCTTTATACTGCATCTCCTGCAGATTGTAATACTATCTTAAAGTACATGTTAAACAACGTAGCCCTACAGCTACGGCTACAGCTTTTGTTTTCTTATTTTTACTTTGTAGTGTCATTGTTTGATGTTCTGAAGGTATTAAATAATTTTAGATCTTGGAAATCCAAATCCTTTTTTTCCAGAATATACAATCTGGTACTATGTTTAACACAGTTAAACTTCTTTTCGCTGATCATATGTTACTGAGCATGCTCAGATATATCTGTAATAAAACTAATATCATAAAAAAGCTTCCTTAGTTTCCAATACTTCTCCAAAACCTATTTGTAGTTCACTCAGATCTTGCTTGCATTTTTACAGATCCGATTATGAAGAATCTTAAGAAATAATTTTAATACCTGATTCATTAAACGGATCAAGTTAAACTCATCACATCTTTATGTACGGTTTTTTAGAAATAGGGATACATGTAGATGTTAGCCAATCTTGAGGTATATGTCCACTATTATACAGGGTGAGTCATGAGGAACTTTACATACTTCTACCATATGTAGAGTCCCTCAGGGAGCATATCATGTGGCCACTAAAAAATGTCAACTCCTCTTCTTTATTAATTAACAGGGTGATTTGTGTAATTGACCATTTATTTCATTTTACTGTAGTGTTTATACGGTTCATTTGATTTTTAAAATTTTTGCATGATACAGTACACTACTATCAAGGATTCGACTGGTATTAGCTAAACTAAAAAATTCTAGGACTGGCTTTGGAAAAATTAATTTAGGGATTCGTATTAAATATTACACCCTGTATATATATTTTTTAAAATGCAATAAGTGATTTTCAAACTACATAAATAGCCAATGAAAACGACATATGCGACAATGTTGTCGCAGTTTTATTAAATTTTAGTGAACGATCAAATCTTACCAAAAATAGAACAACCATAATGAAGTATCAAATTATAAGGTAATTAATTTAAACAAATGTTATAAATTTCAAACATTTTAATTGAAATGATAAACTGAGTCACTGCACAACAAAAAACAGTAACTACTAACAATAACGAAGAACAATTGAAAAAAAACTAAAAATATGTACATAGTTATGATAAACCCATAAATTAGAACTGGAAAAGATACAATAATGGTAAAAAAATAAAAATGATTCAAAATTGATTTTCGAAATCGAACCCTGCAGCCTGTACACATTTTTGTTGCCGAATTGTTAATTGACGTATTGAATTACGGATACTCTGGGGATCGTTTCTAATAGTATTACAACAATGTATAATTCTATCAATTAATTGTTGTCGGGTGTTAATATTCACTGCGTAAACTAGTTGCTTCAATCGTCCCCAAATATGGTAATTAACGGGATTGAAATCAGGGGATCTTGAAGGCCACGAAATAGGACCTGCACGTCCTATCCACCTGTTGCCATAAACATTATTGAGATGTTGTCTCACTGCCAGTAAAAAGTGTGGGGGTGCCCCATCATGCTGAAAATACATCCCTCGGATAGCAACGTTCGCGTTGGCAAGCAAATTCGGCAAAATATTTTGTAGAAAGTTCAAATAGACCTGCTCTGTTAAAGGACCATCAAAAAAGTGAGGACCTACTAATTGGTTATTTATGACACCAATCCACACGTTAACCGAAAACCTTAACTGAGAACGACGTTCTCGAATAGCATGGTGATTTTCTTCTGCCCACACATGTGAATTTCGTGAATTATTTATCCCGTCTCTGGTAAATTGGGCTTCATCTGTAAATAGTGTCCTATATAGCGTTGGTCGATTATTGTTAATCCATCTACAAAATTCCAACCTATCGATCTCATCTCCAGCATGTAGTCGCTGAACCATTTGAATGTGATATGGGTATAGATTATTTTTTTGTAAGACTCTACTTACTTTTGATTGAGTAACATTGAGTTCTCGACTTACTTGTCTAGTGCTTATTGTAGGGTTCATAGTAACGGCGTCCATAATGTCATCTTCCTGCGCTTCATCTACATGTCGCTCTGTTGTTCCACTAGGAAAAGTGCCATTTTCTCGTAAATAATTAAAAACTGACCCAAATGTTGGATGACTGGGAGTTCGATGATTAGGAAATCTCCTGCGATATTCTCTACTAGCAGCCCTACCATTTCCATTACTTCTTCTTCTTTGGGTGCCGTCTTCAATGAAGGTTGGCGATAACCTCAGCAAAATCATTTCTGTCCCTGGCTTTTCTTATTAAAGATTGAGAATCCAAACCAGTCCACTCACGAATGTTCTTCAACCAGGACGCCTGCCGTCTACCAGGACCACGTTTTCCTTCTACCTTCCCCTCTATAAGAAGCTGCAGTAGCTGGTATTTCTCATATCTGTATATGTGTCCCAAATATGAGGTTTTCCGTGTTTTCATTATTTTTAAGAGTTCTCTGTCGGTACCCATCTTGTGTAGGACCTGCTCGTTGCTCATATGCGCTGTCCAGGGGACTTTCAGCATCCTTCGAAATAACCACATTTCAAAACTTTCCAAACGCCTTAGTGAGTTGATTTTGAAGGTCCAGGCCTCCATTCCATATAGTAAGGTGCTGTAAATATAACATTTCAGCATTCGGTATCGGATTTTGAGATTGAGTGTTTGGGACGTAAACATTTGTTTCATTTTTAAAAAGACATTTCTTGCTTGTTCAATTCGCGATTTTATTTCTATGTCTGGATCTATATCTTTCGTTATCCAGCACCCTAGATATCGAAATTTCTCGACATTTTCGATAATGTTACCATTCACGTTTAAAGCCATGGGTGGATGGATGGATGTTTTGGAGACAATCATTGTTTTTGTTTTCTTGACGTTAGTGCTGAGGCCGTATTGTTCTCCGATCGATCTGACGCGATCTAAGAGTGTCTGGAGATCCTGTGCGCTCTCTGCAATTAGGACCGTGTCGTCGGCGTATCGTACATTATTTAGAACTCTGCCGTTAATTTTAACACCTTCTCTTGATTGCTCTAGTGCTCGTGCAAAGATTTCTTCCGAATATATATTGAAAAGTAGTGGTGACAATACACACCCCTGTCGTATTTCCATTACAGAATCCATAAACAAATATTATGTCTGCATATTCTGTGGTCGAAGACTGATGTGGCATTTTAAACGAAAGTAACAAAAGCTCTACCAAAACTAACACAATGTACTTAACGTAGATATGACAGAAGAAATATGTATTCTTGTACACATAAATAAAAATTGATAATGACAATAATGACAATGGGTATAAAATATCAAGAAACGTCAAACGGTCAACGCCAACCTTCATTTTAAACTTTTTTAGATTTATTTTTATTTAGTACAGTTGATGCAATGTATTATTATTTGACATAAAATATTAATCATTTACAATCAACAAAAACTAACACATACAAGAGGTTTGACTTTTTAATCAATTTAATTTTTTATTTATCGAAAATAATGCCCCAATACAATCTATGAGTAAAAATTTAAAATTGAAAAACAATTGATTCTATCGTAGAGATAATACAAAGTGACAGTAAAGATGTTAATTTTCTATGTATTAAATTATGTTCTAGGAACTCATTTTAATTAAAATGTTTGAAATTTATAACATTTGTTTAAATTAATACCTTATAATTTGATACTTCATTATGGTTGTTCTATTTTTGGTAAGATTTGATCGTTCACTAAAAATTTAATAAAAGTGCGACAACATTGTCGCATATGTCGTTTTCATTGGCTATTTATGTAGTTTAAGAATCACTTATTGCATTTTAAAAAATATATATACAGGGTGTAATATTTAATACGAATCCCTAAATTAATTTTTCCAAAGCCAGTCCTGAAATTTTTTAGTTTAGCTAATACCAGTCGAATGCTTGATAGTAGTGTACTGTATCATGCAAAAATTAAAAAGATCAAATGAGCCGTATAAACACTACAGTAAAATGAAATAAATGGTCAATTACACAAATCACTCTGTTAATTAATAAAAAAGAGGAATTGACATTTTTTAGTGGCCACATGATATGCTCCCTGAGGGACTCTACATATGGTAGAAGTATGTAAAGTTCCTCATGAATCACCCTGTATATAGTGTTAAATAGTTTGGCTAGGATTTTAAAGTTTTCTTCGTTATTAAGTTTCAAGAACTATGCTCATATGTTATCTGCTATAACTGCATTACCTTTTTTAATACCTTTATAGCCCCTATTTCTAAAATCATAATACTTGGCTTCGTTTCTGCATATTTCCGCTCTCCGGGACTAAATGGAAGCTGTAAAGCAGAAGTGTCAGAGGGATTTCCTTCCTTTTGGACGCCGTTTGGTCCAAGGCTGTCACTAAGTACAAGTTCTATTGGGAGAAACGGTCCTTTTTAGATTGTCGGACTTTTTGTTTTGTTCGGTTTAAACGCGTTGCTGTCAAAAAGATCGATAATATATACTGTCCTTTCTTTTTCCCTTTTTTTATAGTTCCAAGTTTTCTATGTATTATCTCTATATTTTAGCTTTTCTCCATTATCCGTTTTTGTGTCTGAGTTCTTTTTTATTTTTGTATACTTAAATTTTTTCTCGTCTTCGGCATTGTGGGTTGTTATATTTCACAAGTCCTGTTAGGCGACTTCCTGTGCCTCTTCACGATGTATTTCTGAATGTGAGTTGCTTGGTTATTGGAATTGGGGTGGTAGCGGTTAGGTGGTGTGAATTCGTCTGGTGTATTGCAGAGCAGGGCATGTTTAGAGAAGAAAGGTCTTGGAGAACGGTGTCTTTCAGAATTTTATTTTTTTTGTTATGTTTAACTTACTCTAGTTGTTACGCATTGAACGCGGCTGTAACTGTTATCTCCCTATGAACAGGTGTAAATTTGCAATGATATCGGAAAAAAGCAGAAAACCGTTCCCTGTCTTTTTAAACTTAAAGTGAGATATTTATTTATGTACGGTGAAAAAGAGGTGTTGTCTCCAGGGTATCGCTTTATTTTATAGGGAGTTTCTTTTTAAGCTCTCTCATGAATACATTGAAGTAAGATAAGCAGGGAATTTTGAGTAGGTAATTTTGGGCTCGGATATTTTGGCTTCTAATGGTTTCTAGGGTATGGTAGGAAAGTTCTCTAGTTGATGTATTAGGTTGGAGGAATAATTGAGACTTTTATATTCTACTTTTTATACCTTATCAGGGGCAATATGTACGTCTTGTATATATCTAAAAGTGTTTTAGCTTGCGTCTAACTTGATTTTTTCATCCAGAGCTGACTCTTTTTCTAACCATATTACTGGTGGCGATCAGATCTTGTAATCAGTTTAGTGTTTTAGTGAACACCACTCCTAGACACTTGATCATTTCTCTCGACACTCAGGTCTTTTCTTTCTTCTTTAACCTAGGTGGGGTAGCCGCTAGTGAAGAAATGTCTAAAGAGTATGAGTTGTGTTTTGTTTGAGTTAGCTATTACTCTTTATCTCCCGCATCACCTATCGATGACATCTGTAGCTCGTGCTCTTATTACGAGAGTAGTGTCGTCTACGTGGTGTTAATGTTTCTAGGATTAGAAGACTCACTGTTATATATTGTGTAAAGTCATAAATGCCACAATGGAACATTGAGGTTCTCCTACTATAGGAGGGAAGGGTATTGATAGTTGATACCGGTCTTTTACCGTGATGTTCCTATCTGATAGTGGAGATGGGCAGACCTATGTTTAGTAGTTTTTTCACTAGTCTGGTATACCGAACTTGATCGAAATCTTTCTGGACATCGAAAAAAAATTTTATTTCATTTTTGAGTAATATGGGTGACGATTTCGGTCAAGGCGGCTCTAGTGGTGTGACCTTTCTAAAGCTGTGGTAAAGTTTATGATTCTCTTCTTGAGGATCCTCTGGAAGACTTTTGTTAAAACGTTTAAAAGAGAAATCAGCTTATAATGGTTCAGATTCATCCATGGTTTGCCGTTTTTAGAAAGCAAAATTGTGTTGGCTATCTTCAAAAGGTTTGGAAAGTAGCAGAGTGTTAGAATAAACTAGCATTAATCATATATATTAACGCAGATAACGGCAAATGGCGCCATCCCTGCACACTGAGAAATAACAGAGGTGCCATATAGCGGCTTCCCAAGCCAAAGCGTTAATAATAACTTTTGTTAAATTAATGGTAATAAATAACGATAACTAATGCTAGTAAATGATATAACAAACAAACAACACAAATGTCTACAATTGGGATGACTTTATCAATAATTTAACTACTTTTATATTAATTTAATATTATATTTTTTAGATATTGGTATAACAAAAGATAACCCAGCATTCTCCATGATCAACGACTCAGATGAAGACGTCATCTATGGATCAGACGAAGAAAGTAGACGGCCATTAAACAGATCGAGAAATGACGACGACAGTGATTAGATACAAATCGACAAAAAATTGTTAATTCTCAGTGACAACCAGTATACTATGTTTTATACCAAAACATGACAGATATATACTTAAATTTCAAGGTCTTGAGAACCAAGTCTTGATAAATAGAGAAATACTAAATGAATTGAATGATTTTTTGATTTTTTTTAAATACAGAATAAAATACAGACCATTTTTATATAATATTTTTTTAATCCTATTTATTTCTTTTATTTCAGTTTTCGATATCAATAATACAAAAATATTGTAAGGTGAAATGAATATTTGAGCATGTTATGTCTTCTCCCCTCTTTACTAGATAATTAAAATATAATTTAAACTAATATTATCAAATATATAATTAAATATCAAATTATATATTTTTTGTAAGATTACATAATGATATGACTTTTTAAATTATTTCATATTTATTTTATTCATAGCTGAATCTTTCGTTAGTGTCCACACTTTAATCTCTTTAACCGTTTCTAAATATAGTTTTTATAAAATAGAAATCATTCTCCTAATCTGCTTTAGAATTGATGAAGATTGTAACTACAAAAGCTCTTATTTATCCTAATAGATTACATCAACGTAGTATTTATTACATATAAAACCTTTGTATTTTTAATTTGGATTTTAAAATCAATCAGTTTCTTATATACTAAGTCATATAGAAAAAAATAGCATCTATTAATATTGAAATTATTACAACAATTTTTGTATACATATTTCTTAGTGTTGAATAAGTCATTTTAGACTCTTTGACAGGCATATGATAGCGTAGAAAGAAGCCAAGTATGGAATGCAATGGCGGAGTTCTCAATACCAAAGAAACTCATTCGGATGACTAAAGTCTGTATGGAGGGTGGAATATCTAAAGTATGTGTAAATAATAAACTGTCTGGCAGCTTTGAAATCAACAGTGGACTCAAACAGTGTGATGCGTTATCTCCACTACTTTTTAACCTTGTATTAGAGAAAGCCACGAGGTCGGCCGAAATAAAAACAGAATTGCTATCGGTTCAAGGTCCCAAGCTGTTACTCGCATATGCAGATGACATAGATCTAATTGGAGACTCCATCCTATCCACGAAAGACATTTTCAACAAGATGGAAGGAGCAACAAGTGAAGTAGGGCTGAAGATTAATAAAGAGAAGACGAAATATATGTGTATAAATAGAACGACACGAAGAAACAGAATAGGACAAAATGTGACGGTCAACACCTTTAATTTCGAAAGAGTACAACGTTTTAAGTATCTGGGGGCCGTAATCACAGCTGACAACGATGTTACTGAAGAAATAAAAGACAGAATCCAATCTGAAAACCGCTGTCTATTCGCACTGGATAAGCGCGTAAAATCAAAAAATCTCACAAGAAGTTCAAAGATCAAAATTTATAAATCCATTATCAGACCTGTAGTAACATACGGATGCGAAACGTGGACCCACCCAGGGTTGTAGCGCTACGTGATGATGATGAATAAGTAATTGAACAACATTTCAGCAAATTACAACGGTGTGAAAAAATGTCAAAAACTAATAATAATATGTTAGACCTTCACGATGACCTCTGCACTTATAAATACGTCTGAGCATACTTCTAATGAGAAGATTATTTTCCTCTTGAGGTATCCCATTCCAGACTACTTAGACCTTACGTCGAAGTGCCGCTAGAGTCGGTGGATGAAGTATACGGAGCAACCTTTTTCCCATCATGTTTCAGACGTGTTCAATAGGTGAAAGATCAGGAAATTTAGTGGACCAAGTCAAAAAATTCACTTAATTGTCTTCAAAATGGACCAACGTAATTTTGGCTGTACGCGCTTTATCTTGTTTAAAAAGTGAGTTGGGAGCATCTATATATAAAGCAGAAGATGTGGATCCACCATCTCATGAATGTAATGCACGGCGATCGTGTTGTTTTTAATGAACACTAAAGGAGGCCTACTTTCATAGGCAAGACTCCAACAGTATGATGCACACGTCTTTTTAAAGAATACTTCGATGCCTAGGAGTAAGAGATAGGGTAAACTGAGGACGGGATGAAATAAGTCCAAAGACATTCTAAATGATAACGGAGACAGGTCAATTAATATATGTGACTAAAATAACATGAATTTTAAATGGTTTTTTAGCATCGCAAAAAACCATAAATTTAGATGGCTACAACAAACAAGAAACTTAAAATCAATTATCGATTATGTGATAACTCACATAATACAAAGATCAAGGTACAAGATGTTCAAGTATATAGAGAAAACACACGTGGAAGTGATCACTACTTGGTTAAAGCTAAAATAACTCACGTTCGACTAGCCAAAAAAAAAAAAGAAGACACGCTAGAGCCAAACAAAACAATTCTGAGAATTAAAAACTTGGAAACCTTCTCAAAAATACTGTACAAAAAATGACGACAAAACATTCATAAGTGAAACCTATGATAGTTTAGAGGATCAATACAACTATATAAAAAAAATGGTTAAAGGGTGCAACAGAAGAATTATTGGACAAGTATAAACATCTCATTATCATCTCAGAAAACTAAAACAATAGTAGTTAGCAAAGAACCAACCAGATGTAAAATAGAAATTGATGACATTAGTATTGAACAAGTAATGGAAATAAAATACCTGGGAATTACTCTGTCTAGCTATGAAGACCTGAACACAGAACTGAGAGATCAATTTCAAAAAGAAAATAGACTGACAGGATGCCTTAATAACACTATATGGCAAAACAGATACATTAACACTGCGATGGAGTCAAGAATTTATAAAGCCAGTGTAGGACCAATAATGACATATGTCTCAGAAACAATACCTGACACAGCCACAACGCAAAGGCTACTGGAAACGGCAGAGATAAGAGTACTGAGAACAATTACAGGAATACGCTGAGAGATCGAAAAACAAGCAAAGACATTAGAAGAAAATGCAACGTACAGTGTATATATGCATGAAGGCAAAATACAAAAAAAAAGTGGAATAACCGCATAAGCACAATTTAGGAGACCCGTGTCGTCAAAATAGCACGAGATAAGTCACCAATCGGCAGAAGTATCGGACGACCGCGCAAAAGATAGACTGACAACTTTACATATAGGTATTAATCCACCAATGAACAAGCAGAATTGCTTATAAAGAGTAAGAAGAAGAAATATAAAAATAAAGCATAAAGGAAGCTCTATTTTGTTTGTTTAATATCTACTTAGAACAAGCACTGAGACGTGGAAAAGGAAATGTAGTGGTATGAGAATCCCTCTAAACGACACCACATTGTACACACTATGCTTTACAGATGACCAAATAATCTTGGTTCAGTATTACGAAGATTTAGAATATATGGCAAGCAAAATTATTCAGGAATATTAGAAACGGGGCTTAAAAGTAAATTTCACGAGGAAACTAAGTTCCTGTAGCTGGCTGTATACCATATATCACAAAAAAAAATTTGGTAAAATCCTTTATAAAAGGTATATAAAATTGCCTCAAACGGGCTATCACAAACACATTGCAAAACGTTTTCGGATTAAACAATCCATCATCAGTGCAAACCTGAAAGTATATAACCACTTTTTAATTAAAGTGGTTATATACTTTCAGGTTTGCACTGATGATGGATTGTTTAATCCGAAAACGTTTTGCAATGTGTTTGTGATAGCCCGTTTGAGGCAATTTTATATACCTTTTATAAAGGATTTTAACAAAATTTTTTTTAAAAGTAAATATCAAAACAAAATACGTATGTATAGAAGGAGAACAACAAAATCTAATTTTAGAAGAGCAACAGTAACACATAAATCACTGTAAAATGTATAAATATTCAGGCATACGCATAAACAATGACGGCAATTTAGATAAGCAGATTAAATATAGAAATAACCAAGAAAGACAAGCCAGTCGGCAATTGAACAATATACTGTCGGATAAAATAATTTTGAGAGGAAATACACAGAATCTATATTACCATTGTCAGAGGCATTGTTACATGTGGAAGCGAATTATGACCACTGAAGAAGAGAGCCATAAAAACTTTGAAAGCAACAGAAATGTATTATTGGAGGCGAGCGGACTCTAAATCAAGATTAGATAGGTTAGGAAACGAGAGAATTCAAGAAATCATGGGCGTTAAATACAGTATATCATAGGACATCATAATTAACCAACTAAGATGGTACATGCACGTACAAAGAATGGATAACAGTAAAATTCTAAAAAAAGTATTAAAATAGACACCTCAGGGAAGACGAAAGAAGGGCAGACCGAGATTAAGTTAAAGAAAAGGAGTCGACAAGGATTTAAAAACGAGAGGAGTAGAAGACTACCTTCTGAAATCAGAAGACGACGAAGAACATTATAAACCGATTGTATATATTCTTCTAAATCTCTGATAAAAAGTTCGCAGTCTAATGGGCTTTTTATGCATTTTAAACCACTAGTCTACAATGGACCTTGTACCCGTACATATAGAAGCTGCCCCTACTGACAGAAACCTAAGGCAGCGATTATTTTGGTGTGTGGCCGTTTTTCTGACACTCCCTGTACCTCTAGTTTTTTTATGTAAGGCCTTCCGGATGCTATGTACGACAACAATCCATCACCGTATTGATACTAACATGTATTATACCCTCGTGAAACTCGCTAAGTTGTTGAAAATTTGGTCGTCTCCTCATTCTAGGCAAAACGTACAGATTAAAGCAACTCGTCGTAGTACAATGGTCATATGCAAATTGCAGCTACAAAATATAACTATCTATCGCTTACTTACTTTTTTTTGTAAGATCAGACGATATCAAAAAAAAAACACTAAATGAATATTGTTATATAAACTGATCTTTTTGTCCTAACTTCAAACAAAAATATTCCTAAAAATTAATTATAATAAATTCATTATTACTATAGTTTTAGTTGCTCTCTTTTCTACATCACTTAGTATGTTAAACTCATCAGTGGGTCAACCTTTGATAATAAAATGCTTGTATCAAGTGTATATTTCTAGATCTA